TAGAGACGGGGTTTCACCATGTTGACCAGGATGGTCTCGATCTCTTGACCTCGTGATCCACCCGCCTCGGCCTCCCAAAGTGCTGGGATTACAGGCTTGAGCCACCGCGCCCGGCCTGCTCAATATCTTAAATAGCCTCACCATTGTATTAAACATTTTTTATCGTGGAAAAATATCCATAACATAAAATTTACTGTTTTAGTCTTTTTTTTTTTTGAGACAGCGTTTTCGCTCTTGTTGCCCAGGCTAGAGTGCAGTGGCTCAATCTCAGCTCACCACAACCTCCACCTCCCAGGTTCAAGTGATTCTCCTGCCTCAGTCTCCTGAGTAGCTGGGATTACAGGCATGCGCCACCATGCCTGGCTAATTTTTGTATTTTTAGTGGAGATGGGGTTTCTCCATGTTAGTCAGGCTGGTCTTGAACTCCTGAACTCCGGTGATCTGCCCACCTCGGCCTCCCAAAGTGCTGGGATTACAGACGTGAGCCACCGCGCCTGGACTATTTTAGTCACTTTTAAGCATACAGTTCTGTGGCATTAAGTACATTCACGTTGTTGTGTAACCATCACCACCATCCATTTCCAGAACGTTCTCATCTCCCCAACTGAAACTCTGAACCCCTTAAATAATAACTCTCCATTGCCCACTCCTCCTTCCCCCGGCAACAGCCATTCTACTTTCTGTCTGTACAAATTTGGCTATTCTATGAGCTTTGTATAAAAGGAATCATACGGTATTTCAATATTTGTTCTTCCGTGACTTATTTCATTTAGTATAATGTCTTTAAGGTTCATACATGTTGCAGCCTGTGTCTCACTGTTTTTGTTTGTTTGGTTTTTTTTTCTCTCTGTCACCCAGGCTGAAGTGCAGTGGTGTGATCTTGGGTCACTGCAACCACCATCTCCCAGGTTCAAGTGATTCTCCCACCTCAGCCTCCAGAGTAATTGGGATTACAGGCACCTGACATTATGCCCAGCTAATTTTTGTATTTCTATAGGGATGGGGCTTCATCATGCTGATCAGGCTGGTCTTGAAATCCTGACCTCAGGTGATCCACCCGCCTCGGGCTCCCAAAGTGCTGGGATTACAAGCGTGAGCCACCGTGCCCAGCCTGTCTCGCTGTTTTTTAATTAAACAATTTTGATAAATGTGTCCTGCGAAATCTTATTTCATGAACTGTCTCCATCTGTAGTTTTATTGTTGGAGGGACCAAACTGAAGAGAAGTGCATTAAACTCAATTGACTGCTTGTCCAAATCCGTCCTCCCCTGTCCTCCTTGCTCTCATCCTTCTTGATCCCTGGTTTTGTTCTGGTACTTACTGGCAAGCTCCTCACACTGGAACAGGTCTGCTCTTAGACCCAGGAGTACGTCTTAATTCGTTTAAGTCAATCATGGTATTTTGGTTTCTTTGCCGATGGCTGGTTTTGAGGATGATCATGTGATATACTCTTTCTCAGGAGACGTGAGAGAAAGCTGATGCAAGGCTACTGGAAAGGATTCCTTGCTTTTCCAATAGACAAGGTGAAATTTCCTATATTCTGCTTCACGATATTGTGGACACGTGTGTTGGTGATGCGTGGAGTTCAGCAGCCACCACCATGAGAGGCGTTGGCCAAATGGCCCAGATGATACACCAAAGATGTCAGAGGGGAGAAATGAAAAGGAATCTGGATCTTCTATGTGAACGAGTCACTAAATTACCCAACTCTGGGGGTGGGCGTGGTGGCTCACACCTGTAATCCTAGCACTTTGGGAGGCCAAAACAGGTGGATTGCTTGTGTCCAGGTGTTCAAGACCAGCCTTGGCAACATAGTGAAACCCCAGTGTCTACAAAAAATACAAAATTAGTGGGGTACGGTGGTATGTGCCTGTGATTCCAGCTACTGGGGAGGCTGAGGTGGGAGGATCACTTGAGCCCAGGAGGTCGAGGATGCAAGCCAAGATCGCCCCACTCCACTCCAGCCTGGGCGACAGAGAGAAACCCTGTCTCTCTGCCTCAGTGAGACAAAATAAATAAATAAATAAATAAATAAATAAATAAATAGCCAGCTCTGGAACTCTCCGCCTTTAATCTTGACACTTACGTGGGATCATACAATTCTTTATCATTTAGACTTTTGGATATTCTGTACTTGTAGCCAAAAGCATTCTAATGACTTATTAAAAATGAAAGCTAAACAGGAATCAAAGTAGAGGCTCAAGACTCACACAGTTTCCCATTGGTTGATGCTAACACTGCGGAAACCTCATTGGTCTATTTGTCATGAGATCTCCTGATCTCATAATCTTGTATTATTTCTGTAGTGTTGGCCCTGGGAGGTAATTTCTAGGAAAAGGGACCCTTGGGAAATTGAGTTTGATTTTGAGAAAAAAAAATGGGGAAGCACTGGGAAAGATGGAGAGAGACACAGTTAATCGAGTGACAACTGCCTAGGTCGCTGCTGCTGGAAGGATGGTGACAAATGATAACGATATTTGGGAGCGGCTCTTTGAAGCATGACAGTCAGATGCAGTGAGGGCCTGACAGAAAAAAGAAATCCAGCCCGTGTGGTGTAAGAGCCAGGGAGCTTTTCTTTCCAGTGGGAAACCCAGCCAACCTCAGAGGGGTCATGTTATGGCAGAGTGGAAGACAGGGACATGATAGGAAGATGACCAGCGAAAGGGGACACGACAACTACAGAATGCTGATAGAGAGCCAGTGGAATGACAAATACATGCTAAGCTGACATCAGTTCTCCCTCCATGCTGATTGTAATAGCTATTCTTTTTTTTTTTTTTTTTTTTT